AAACCCTAAACCCCAAAGCCGCAACCCTTGCAAGGGTGGTGCTTGAGGCTCCTAGGATTCGTTTGCACGTCTTCAGAGCGCAATCTCTCTCCGGCTCCCTGGGTTGAGGGTTTTAAGGTCCAGGGTTAAGGGTTTAGGGTTTAGGGTTAGGGTTTAGGGTTTAGGGTTTAGGGTTTAGGGTTTAGGGTTTAGGGTTTAGGGTCCTAGGTTTTTTTTTGCAGATTCGGTGCATGCCTCGTCTTGATTTCGCGCGGCCTCCCTCCGGTTGCCTACAACCTTCAATGCTGAGAGACAGGAAAGCACTGTGCAAGTCTCGTATGATCTTTGAGAAGGGGCAAACTTGTCATGTCTAACCTAGGGGCCTAGATGATTACCTAGATTTATTCTTTTTGGGGGTTCCTTATCCTAATTATAGCATAATGGGCCCCAAAACCCTATTCGAATTATTAAGGCCCCTACTATAGAACCCTACTATAGATCCCTTATAGAATCCTTTAAGGATCCCTTTGAGGGAACCCTATTCTAAGTGACAAGAACAGCGCTGGAAGCCTAAACCCTAAACCCTAAACCCTAAACCCTAAACCCTAAACCCTAAACCCTAAACCCTAAACCCTAAACCCTAAACCGCACCGCTGGCGACCCCCAAGCTCCTCAGCTCGAGCCTGGAAACCCCGAAGTCCCCAAACTACGGGTTTAGGGTTTAGGGTTTAGGGTTTAGAAGCCCCCTGAACTGATCCCCCAAAACCCTAACCGAGCCCCCATAACCCTAAGCCCCTAAACCCCTAATCCCGTAAACCCCCAAACCCCTAAACCCCTAAATCCTAAACCCCTAAACCCTAAACTCCAATCAGCCACTAAGCCCTAAACTCTCAACCAATAGACCCCCTAAACCCCCCCAAGAGTCTCAACCCTTCAGCTGCACCAACGTAAGCTTATAAACTCTACCTCGAAGCCCGAAAAACCCTCACAAAACCTTCAAAGGGGCCCTTCAAGAAATCCCTCAAGAAGCCCTCAAAGGAGCCCTTAAAGGATCCCTTAGAAAGATCGTGGAACCCATGCAGGAGCTCTCACAGGAAGTCCCAAACCGCCCTCTCCGAGGTGGCTCAGTGCCCCCGAGGCTGCGCTGCGGATGCCCTGCATCGATGCCCCTCCTGCCCCTCGCCTTTGGTCTAGGATCACTGGGCTTCCACACGGTCTTTCTGGGGTTTTAGAAGTTTGCGGAGTTCTATAATACGGATTTGGGGGGGAAGTTGCCAGGGGTGGGTGTTTGGTGTATTTAGTTCATGTTGAGGGTTTTCAGCAGGGCAATCTATTCAGAAAGTCACGCTGTGGGACCCCTGTTTTTTCCACGCACAAGGTTTTGCGTTCCACCCTCTTTCTGTCGGGGGGTAGTGTACGGCGTCTGTATTATTTTTTGGTTGTGGTAGCAGTTGCTGTATACCTTCTTGCATTTCAAGAACGATCGCCACATGTAGACTACACTGTACTCGCGGATATGCTGAAATATCGATGTTGGTGATAGACCGGCAACTATAGTTGCAGCGCCGATCAGCACAATGACCGCGACCACGACCACAACGACTTCCGCCATGCTGCCATGATTGCAAGTAGAACAAAAGAGACCACAACGTAATGCCTACAACCAGGGTTTAGGGTTTGCGGTTTAGGGTTTGGGGTATGGCGACGGCAGCAAGGTCCGAGCATTGCATTCATGGCCAGGACAGGAAGGGGTCGACGGAGCTAGACTGGGTGTTGGCTTCACTCTTTGTTTTTGCCAGCCTGGGCGGGGCTGATCGGTGAGGCACTGCGGGATGTGTGCCGAACTCAGGTCTAATTCCCTGGAGCCGGTCTTCTAAAGCCAATCTTGTCATGCTGCAACGCTGCTAGTGTTGCTGTTGGTGGTGTGGGGACTGACCCGAGGTCCCAAGGCAGTCGTCCGCGTACTTGGCTCTCATCTGGCCGCATGGCTGCACTGGACCTCAATCGAAGTACTTCCGTGAGGAGCCAGAGGATAGACTGGAAAAAGCAGCGACGCAATGCGACACCTTGTCAAGGAACGCAACAGCAAGCATGACCTGCGTCGCCTTTAGCACATTCTCATGATCGTCATCATCATCTTCGTCATCATCATTATGATCATGATCATGATCATGATCATCATCATCATCACCACCATCATCACCATCACCGTCACCATCGCCATCGAGAGGGATTGCAGGCAAATGTTCGGCAAAGTTTCAAAGTCTAAACCGCGGCCCACTGTAGCTGTAAACCCTAGAATCATCTCTGGAATCTGTAACCTGAAATCTGAAAGCCAGAACCCTGAAGCAGAAATCCTAGAGCCTCCACAGGCTAAACTCTAAAACCCTAAACCCTAAACCCTAAACCCTAAAACCTAGACCCCTCAACCTTTGGAGCCTTCAAGTTCTGAGCCCTGAAGCCCGGGAGGCCTAGTCCAGAAATCTCAGGATCCCCCCAAAATTTTCTTTAGCTCCCCTAAACAAGGGTCGCTTTTAGGGTCCCGTTTAGAAGGGTGCCGTGCTATTTTTCGGGACTTAGAAAGGAACCCTATTTTAGCGAACCACCCAAACTCTACAGCATCAACCCTGAGGTACGACGATTAGCTAAGCGAGTATAGTAGGATGAGCATGATGACGACCCCAAACAGGACCTAGCCTTCAGAAGCCCCAGAACCCCCGTAACACATTCTGAAAAACTAGAGTAAAGCCCCCATAGAGCCAGAAACCTTCACGCGGGGTTTCACGTTTGGCTTCCAGGAGTGTCTTTTTTTGACCCTAGGCCCTAAACTTTCTTTTTTTGAAGACCAAGGTGTCCATGCAAGGAGGGGTTTTGGGATGCAGGGCCGGGTTTTATGTCTAAGGGTGTAGGGCCCAGAGCCTGGGGTTGGGAGCTTCAAAGTTCGGACGTAGAGTTCGGGATGTCGGTTTAAGGGTTAATTAATAGGGTTTAGGGTTTCGGGTTCAGGGTTCAGGGTTTAGGGTTTAGGGTATAGGGCTTTTCAAGATCTAGACTCGGCCAGAAGATGGGTTGACAGACGGGTAATGTTATATCCCCCCCCGGATTTCCTCGCTGTCCTGCAAAGCTCCTCAGGCGGTTCACCATTTCACCAATCGGTTTGGCCCTAACCCATGAACCATTTCGCCATTTCGCCGGTTAGCTTGGCCCTAACCCACAAACCAGTTCAGCATTTCACCATTTCACCAATGAGTTTGGCCTTAACCCCCAAACCAGTTCATCATCTCACAATTTCACCCATTAGTTTGGCCCTAACCCATAAGCCATTTCATCATTTCACCATTCACGTCCCCCATGTGGCCAGGCCACTTCACCATTTCACCATTTCACCATTCACGTCCCCCATGTGGCCAGACCTCCTTACTTTCATAGGGCCTAAACCCTAAACCCTAAACCCTAAACCCTAAACCCTAAACCCTAAACCCTAAACCGATGGTTGATGGGTTAGGGCCAAACCAATTCGTGAAATGGTTTGTGGGTTCAGACATAGGGCCAAATTCATTGGTGAAATGGTCTCGGGTTTAGGGTGGGTTTAGGGTTTAGGGTTTAGGGTTTAGGGTTTAGGGTTTAGGGTTTAGGGTTTAGGGTTTAGGGCGCAACCACCCCATATGGTTAGTCCTCCTCACCTCATAAGACCAAGGCAGTTGATAAAATGGTGCATGAGGGAAAAGTGGTTCGGGTACCGAACGACCTGAAGGATCAAATCGGCTGGTGAAATTCCGAAAATTGTCTGCTGGTTTAATGGTTTCGGGCGCTAACCGTCATATGGTAAACTGAATGTTTGAAGGTTCGAAAGACCTGGGTTTATAAGCCAGTGATGTGGTAAACTTTGGGAGGTTCCCGTTGCACAATAAACTATACGAGATAAATCTGTTTCATCAGTACTTCATCAACACCTAAATCCAACATTTCGATTGTTTAGGTGTTTCAGGAAGACCGAAGCTGCAATGAAGCTAAGCAAGGACTAGGAGAATAGATGGTCCTAGGTATCCGGCATTTAATTATTCGGCTTTTTGAGTAATGATGCAGTGTTATTTGTCAGACTGTCGCAAATTCCCGGGACCATATGCATATTCCCGCGACTTTTGTGGAAATGCCATGCTGCATCTGACCGTTCCAGTACATGGAGTTTACCTACGCCGCATCTGACTGTTCCAGTACATGGAGTTGACAAGAGAGGAGGCAATCTATATACATATTACGCGAATAGGCACTTACGTGTCATTCATCTGGGGATCATACTGTGGAAGATGACGTGGCTTCTATCGGGGTTACACTAGCTCAGTAGACGTTCTCAACATTGGAATATCAAGCTACGCAGAAAACTGAGATACGACTGACAAGACCTAACTGTAAGTAAAAACGGATTTTTGTTTGCAACTTGGTTAGGTATCATCGCTTGGTGTACATAGACGAATTGGTTGCAACGTTATGTCCAAACATCATTCCGAGGAAGCAGGATTTCGATGAGACCAGACTGATAAACATATGTGTGGCGAGCAAGCAAAATTTGCGTTTCTTCGCTTGGTACGTAGAAAATTCCTGGCAGCGTGATTTCCAATACATGGGGATGAATTCTCTTTCGGGAGGAGCGATGCATTGTGTTTCACCACTTCTAACACGAGGAATCACGTTCCGGACTGGGACAACTTGTTCTAATAGGGCGTAGATGTTCACAAGAACACAAACATAAATGCAACAGGCCGCCAGTCTAACAAACTCGACATACAATGCACGAGATAAGGCTGATACGGACTCATTGTAAGGACAAGCACTATTTTGCGTCTTACAGATTGCTTATGCTCTCACAAAACGGATAGGCTACATGAGGCTTTATGGTTCGCAGTCGGCTCTACGTGATGGCGGCTGTATGCTGGTACAAGACGCAACGGTTTCGTCACTCGGTATATAGAAACAGTGTCAAACCTAACAAGCGACACTGTATGTATATTGTCCCACAGGGGAAACATTGTACAACGTTGCTAAGCGTGTTGCATGCAAGTTTATAGATTCCCAAATGCCCGCATTTATTGAGAGCTGCATATAGCCAAAACTCCATAGCAATGCTTCGAGAAATGGTCAGTCTGACGGAGTGGCATTACAAATGTTGAAAACGCTTAGTTCCAAAACCTAGTTCGCCGTGGGGCATGTCTGAACCAGATTGTAGACTAAAGGCGCATTTGCTAGTAAATTGGATCTACAAGAATTTAGCGTTTGGAGTTTTTAAAGAGCGAGCAGTCACACAGGCTTGAAATACGAAAACGTACCGACGGCTGCAAGGCATGGATTTTGGCACATTGTAACAGAGTTTCGACGAGTTTTTTTGTAGAATTCATGACGTTGTACGGGTTTGACCTGGTCAGCATTTTGAACGGGTTGTTAAGGTGCAAGTAACCAGGATCTGCAACTTGCTGGGTTAATCTCCAAGCTAGGTTGGCAGAGTTGGGCAAGAACGCAACGAAATCGTGGCATCCGTAGGGGGGTGATATGTACCGGAACGAGCAGTGTGAGAAGCATCCATAATCATACATAGAGACTTAGATACTGTACTGCGTATTTTAAGTTGGTTACGACTTGGACACAAATCCATATGAATTCACGGTGGTTTATATGCTTTGGTCCAGATTCGAGGATATCAAGGGTTTATAAACTTTGCCTGGGTTTATACACTTTCGGTGGGCTTCAAAGCCAGTTGCTGGTTCCACAATAGTAGCGCAGTGCAGAAATGCAGCGCGGGATACTACACGACCGTCACAGACGTATCTACCTGCTGAAGAGCGGCGCCGAACGGGCACCCGGCGAAGGCTGTGCAGGCTTACTGCGATCCCGTGTATGAGAGTGAACTCGATGAGCGAGCGGGGCTTGTCGCCTGGTTGTATGCACTTCGGTTCTGTACGCCCCGCATGGAAGGATTGTGCAAACATAGGATGATTCGGCACCTGCACCAGCTCTTGCTTGCTTTTGTGTTCTCGAGTGGTTCTCGAGTTCAGATGCTGGCACCACTGTTTTGTTCTTGCATTTATGTCATGTACCATCCATGATTTTGTTTTCATCTTTTATCTGTTCCCAAACCACACCAAGCCTTCCGACTTCCTTCCCACAGTGTCCCTAAGTAGCACTGCTCACGGATTGTTCGTGTGATTCGCGACCGCATTTCAGCATAGTGTTGGTGCCGTAAACCTTGATTCCCAGATCTTCCACTCACAAACTTTAGTTTGACGCCTTGTTTCGCTAACGCCGGCCCCGTTGTTTCATCCTTGTAGTTAAGACTTCAGCTGTGTGAGTTGCACGATGAACCCAGAGGTCATCCGGTGCAGGGTAATTGTGGTGTCCAGGGTTGATTTTTGAGTCTGGGACATACAGCAATCTCAAGTACATGAACCCGAAACACCAAGGTTGCCGTGGGGCGGGGTCTGGTCGGTTTGGAGGGGGTCTTCGGCTGTTGCAGCTGGGGCAAGGCGCCGGGGCTTTGGGTGGCTAAGTTTAGGGGCTTCGGGTTCAGGGTGTTTGGGGTGATTTCTTGTTCTCCGAAGAGTTCTCTGGAACGCTACATAACGTTTTGCTCAAGGCAGCTGTAAGGCTTTTTCGGGGATCACGGCATCATTCATTGTTTTGAGGTCGAGGGTTTCATGGTCTTGAGTTGTAAACTTTCGGTCTTGCTGGTTTGACGGTCTAGGGTTTCATGGTCTTAAGCTCTGGAGCTTAGTGCTTCATAGCGTGAAGGTCTCGGGTTTCGTGGTCTTGAATTGTGGGCTTGGGGCTTCCACGGTTTTCACACGGCTTTCAGGGTTTGCATTTGGGCTTCTAAGGTTCAGGGTTTAGGGCCAGGCGTTTGAGGCCAAAACGTGTTGAGGCTCGAGTCTAATTTTGGGTAGGCTTTCAGAAGATGCGGGCCTGCGAAAGCAGACTCCCAAGATTGATGTACGGTTGCGAGGTCTGACTTTCTGACTTATTAGTAGTATTTTCCCTTCATAGGCCCTACATACGTGTGTTAGTATCTACCTGCCGATGCTCTTCAGATTCGGCCCTTAAAGGGACCCAAGTCAGCAACTTCGATCAGGCAGAGGTCGTACTGGAGCGTTGCACCATTCGTGGAGGACGGGGATGCGGCTTGTATGGCCATCATGGCAGGATACCGAAGCCTTCCTTCAAATCACCCCAAAAAAACTGGGCCCTAGAACCTAATCCGGTGAACCCGTGCGGGCTCAAGCCCTAAACCCTAAACCTTTTTTCCTAAACCCTAAACCCCATGCTCCGGGATCGTGCTGCCAAGTACTAGGCCCTTGTTCTACCCGCACGCGGAGTCTCCGTACTGAACCAAAACAGTCGGAAAAGGAGTGCACCTAGACCTACGCCCTAAACCATCCCCAAACCATAAAACCCTCCACCCTCCCTAAACCCTAAACCCAAACTCTAAACCCTCAGCGGATCCTGAATTAAAGCTTTCGGAGTTGTTTGACATGGAGCAGTTGGGTCTAGAGTTGAGCATCCGAAACTTCGGGAGGTTCTAAACTCTAAGCCCCAAACCTCTAAGCCCCCTAAACCCTAAGCCCAAAACCCAAGACCCAAAACCTAAAGCCCGAGAATCATCTATGCAAGCCATGCAGGACATCACGCACTGGATATACGCGGCGGCTGCGGCGTGCGCAGCCGGGCAGGGAAGCAGGCCGGACCTGAAGCCATCGACAGCATCCAGTCCAGCTGCTCCGGATTCGGTATGAGATACACTGTCTGAAGCAACGCTGAAGGATGGGATAGTACCAGTATCAACAGTAGCAGCAACAGTAGCAGCAGTAGTAAGTAGCAGTAGGCTCGCTTAGCTCGAAATCCAAAGCCCTCTAAACCCTAGACTCTAAACCGCATCACAGTCGCCATCACAGCAGTGCCTGTCGCGATGCTGTTGCAGGTGAGCACTCTCCATAGAGCAGAAGAGGACCCGGGGAGTGCCTCCATCGTAGTGACTCAATGTCGGCCTGGTAGTTGGCTTATAGTAACCCTAGAATAGTTTTGTGGTTACACTATGGTAACCTTACACTACCTTTGTAGTATCCATATAGTCAACTTGTAGCAGCCTTATCACATCAGCCCCATGCCCGAAGTCCTCAAACCCTGAACCCTCCTAACCTCTTGTCTTGATTTAGGGCTAAATTGCGCTCTGCCAAGACCCTTCGTCATCCCAAGATCCTCCATCCGAGGCTCGCTACCCCCGTTGGGTGTAGGGCCTCTCCTAAACTCCAAACCCGAAGCCCTAGTCCCTAAACCCTAAGCCATTCTAAACCCGCCTTACGCCCTACAACCCCCAAGCGCTACGCCAGCCAGAGCCCCAAAAAGACCCCCCAAACCCTGAACCCTACTTAAACCCTAAAACCAAAACCCAAAACCCTACTTAAACCCTAAACCCTAAACTCCAGGAGTCGGTTTCCTCCTTTAGCTTCGATCTCGGCTCCTGGCTGGGACGCTGCCGGGCGCAGGGAGCGACGGGAGCGCCGGAGGCGCGCGCTCTCGGGGCTCTTTAGGTTCCCCGGAGGCTGCAGGTTAGGGTTTAGGGTTTA